CAGCCAAACAAACGCAAAAAAGAAACAATGAAAACAAGCACAAATAAGAACGAACCTTGTTTTAAAATGACATGAGATTGAGTTTCCCACTAAAAAATCATCATCAGGAAAACAACAGAACCAAAGGAAAAATAAAAAAATTACTTGAATAAGATTGAACGAACCTTGTTTTAAAACGACATAAACAAATGCAAATGTATTAGTTGAATAAATAAAAAAATTACACATTTTTTTGGTACTTCAAAAGTTAAGGTACTTAGGCATTGCGTAGGCTTAAACCACTAAATTTGACCTTAAAACCAAGATTTAAAATTGGTTGCTACCAAGTAAGTTATTAGTTGGTCATACAAAATTTACGTTTATTCTATCTAAAGTATTTAACCCCCAATAAGCATCAAGGCTGTATGATACTGTAATACCAATATGGAAATCAAGAAAAGACAAATGACCTTCTTAGCACAAACAATAACCAATTTACAGGAAAAATAGCTCTATAGTAGCAAGAAGATGATTTGACATGTATAAACAACCACTTAACCACCCAATCATGACCAGAACCTTGTAAAATGACAATTAACATACATTGCAAGTCAAAGCCAAGCCTAACCAAAGAGGAATTACAGCACAGGACTTAGCACAATCATAAAGGCAAGTAAACTCCATTTGACCTAATCTAAACAAAAAAGCTTTATGCTATCAATTCTAATTTACACTAAAATCTCAAGTTAGAAATGAAACAAGCTGTATATGGAGGAAAATTAAGGTAGCTCACAAGTTGCAGTCCATCGATAAGTATGCTATTTTCTCTGGATCTATGTTGTTTTTTCTTCTTAATTTGGAGGTTTAGTTTGCCTCTAAAAGGTTGATAGTGCTTTCTGCTATCACAAGCATTTACATGCATTAACAGGTACAGTGGTGTTATGGGTAAATATACAGTTGGGGACCTCAAGCCTCCTACATCTGGTATGTAAATCGACTTGTCTGAACTCTATTCTTTGTTTTTGCTTTTGCTGAACCATTGTCATGTACAAACGAATTAATTTTGTGTTGAGATAATAAGTTTCGGTTTTTAAAAAGAACCTTGGCTAATTTCATGTGTGAGATGGAGTTCCTTGAAGGTAAGTTTCAATTGTAAGACCTGTTCCTATAAGAACATTGGAATTGCAATTATTTATCTAGCAATTCTATGAAGTGGATTTCTGGAAAAACATCACAAGACAAATAGGTGGAATATTCAGTGTCAAATCTTGAGAATAAGGAAATGGTGAAAACATGTGGTAATTATTATACTATTTATAATTCCATATAACTGAGGAAATTCATGAAATACAGTTTAGTGGAAACTATCATTAATATTCATATTAGTGGCTTTCTAATTTTAGTGAATGTATTATGAGACAATGAATCAATTAACATGAGGATTTCTAAATATAGAGATTTCCTATGAAATTCATTTGCAATTTTGCTAGATACAAAGATAAACTTGACTCAAAGTCTTGGGATTTTATCATTTTAACCACTAGCGCTAAGTGATTTTAGGCTTTAAAGCTCATCATTTGAATGCTAATTTCTCTTAGCTTATTCTTGTGGATCTGGAAAGCATCCTCAACTCATGCCATCAACTCCAAGGTGGGCTGTTGCTAATGGCGCTGGTGTTATTTTAAGTTATTAATTGGTCATACAAAATTCACGTTTATTCTATCTAAATTATTTAACCCCCAATAAGCATCAAGGCTGTATGATACTGTAATACCAATATGGAAATCAAGAAAAGAAAAATGACCTTTTTAGCACAAACAATAACCAATTTATAGGAAAAATAGCCCTATAGTAGCTAGAAGATGATTTGCCATGTATAAACAACCACTTAACCACCCAATCATGACTAGAACCTCGTAAAATGACAATTAACAAACATTGCAAGTCAAAGCCAAGCCTAACCAAAGAGGAATTATAGCACAAGGCTCACAATCATAAAGGCAAGTAAACTCCATTTGACCTAATCTAAACAATAATGCTTTATGCTATCAATTAACTCCATTTGACCTAATCTAAACAATAATGCTTTATGCTATCAATTCTAATTTACACTAAAATCTCAAGTAAGAAATGAAACAAGTTGCATATGGAGGAAAATTGAGGTAGGCCACAGGTTGTAGTCCTGCTATAAAAAGGTGCGACATTATAGATCATATACTTATAGATGGGTGAGCCAAACCTGGTTTATCCATGCTTGCCAAGGAAAAATCAAGTAAAGGGTAGGGTTTCCAGTGATGTTAACTAAAAACCTTTGCAGTGTCAACAAATTTGCCAAAATGATTTTCCCAATGCATCAGCTTAAGCAAAGTCCTAAAGAAACAAGGAAATGTAAACAAACCATATGAACACCAGAAAAACACCAACAACAAATAGTAAAGGTAAACAATAACAACCAAATGAATAATCAAAGATCAGACACAAAAACTTATAGATAACACAATTAAAAATGAAATCTAAAACCCATTGCAATCAGAGTTGAAGTAACAAATATTATAGATACAAAATCAGATCTAACCCAAACTATAATTAGAAAGAAAGAAAGAAAAAGAAGAATCAAAGGAGTATTGACCAACCTTCTTCTTCTCTCAGTAATGCCATTGCCTCTCCGCCACCAGATCCTCAATAGAAGCCTCATTTTCGCTCAGCCAAGCAGCACACCACTGCCTCTCCTCCACTGGAAACCTCATATACATCAAATCAAATCAAAATTACAGGAGAACCCAAAGCTTGGCATAAAATTAGAGATACGTTTACAAATCTCAAAAACCCTAAAGTTGTACTCGATTTGGATATAGGAAAAAAGTGGATGAGAACTCAGCTCAGATAGTGTAATTCGAGGAAATTGGAAGGCAGCAAGAGCATCAAATCAACCCAAATACTTGTCTCTTGAACGAAATCAACCCATGAATATAGAAGAAAGGCAGAGGATTAGGAAGAAATCACTCGAAATCAACACAAACTCACCTACTGACCTCCTGTCGTCGATGGATTAGAGTCGAGTTTCTAAATTTTGCAGTTAGGTTCAAATGGGTTTTTGAGTTTGAGGAAAATCAATTCGAAATTTTGGAGATTTAGGAGGGGGACGAAAATACTTAAGCCTACGGGGGGAGGGAAATTCAAAATTTGGGGAGGAAAAATTGGGAATATGTGGAGGGAAGGGAAAATGTATACAGACGCTTAAAATAAAAAAGGAAAAAATCTTGTCTAAGAAATAGTGAATTACACGACAAAATAGGTTAATCCGTCTGTATACATAGATTTATACAAACGGATAATGATTATTGTTAGAATATATACACTCTATGCATACGGATAATTAGTAAATCGTTTGTAAAAATCCAATCTATACTAACGGATATATTTTTTCGTTGGTATAGACCAGTGTATACTGACTGCTTATGTTTTCCGTTGGTATAGAACCGTGTATACTGACTGCTTATGGTTTCCGTTGGTATAGACCCATGTATACAGATGGATTTCAATCCATCAGTATAGACTTCCGTTGGTAAAGGGCATTTTCCTTGTAGTGTATAAATAAACTTAAAGATGTAGTTAAGCATATAAAATGCAAAAACTGACTAAATCAATTGTGTTTATTTTATATTTTAATAATTGAAATCAAAACAATTATTAAAAAATATATTAAATCAAATGCGTATTAATTATTATTATTATTATTATTTAATTATATATAACTTACTACTTGAATTTTTTGTCGAACTAATTTCTTAATATTTTTAAATCATTTCATCATGTGGTAAGACTTCATCTTCAACAATAACAAGCAAGATCCATTGCAATTGTTATTGCACCTAAATAACGTTAAAATGATTCAACTTGTCACAATTTTAGCATGATTGTATCACACCTTATTACAACTTATCAAGTCAATAATCCCAATGATTTTTTCATTTTAACTTTGCACCAAAGGCAATATAACATAGAGATGTCAAAAAGAAAATAGAAGATGGAACATACCTAGTCATATCCCGTGCACAATATTGGTGGGGATATGTTTACTTTTCATTATTCCAATAATAGCTAGGTACCTAGCAGCCCTCCAATACTTCATAGACAGCTCGAGGAGAGCCATTTGGCAAATCTTTCTACTTTTAGCTTGTATATATGATGAAGATGGACATTCTTTACTTCTCTCTCTCTCTCTCTCTCTCTCTCTCTCTCTCTTATTAAAAAAATAATAATCTTCACTTCTTTCTTAGCAATATCATTTCAGCCAAAACCTTATTTGTTGCCTTTTGTGCACTCACACTTGCTTGGAAGCTTAGTTAGCTTAGCTCTATTTATAAAAGTAGAACAAAAAAAAAAAAAAAAACAAAAAAGGAAAACACACATTGTTCTTTTTTTCAAATATTTATTTAGAGAGTTGATAAAATCAGAGTATGAATGGTAG